TTGAAATCAGAAGTAGCAATTTTTGCGAATGTGAAAATTCGCCGGAAGCGGAAAAATCGAGAGAACTAGACTTGGCGACGAAATTGACCGAAGTTATGAGACGAAAACAGATAAGAAGATGGGGGATACGCCATCAAAATGAGAGAGAGAAGAGAAAATTTACCGAGTAAATAATTATTTTAGCAAATGGGACAAAATTCTCTTGGCTGGCTCTTTTTCTCCCTCATCGAACATTGACATAATCTATTCTCTGTCAAAACTTGACTATGATATCTTTCTATATAATTCGATAAAATCTCAATAGGAAATATTATTTAAATGTTACAATAAGTTTAGTATAAACTTATTTAACAAATAATTAAAAAATACGATTTTGTTGTCTGTACTTTTAAAGTGCAATTTATCAAAATTTTTATATTTATTTTTTAACATTAATTATTTATTTCGTGTTAAATTAATAATTAGCATTTTATTTTTATATATGTTTCATTTTTATTATATTTATTATAAAAATTTCATTACATAAAAACAATGATTTTAATTTCCTCTTAAGCTTTTTCAATACGATAATATGTAATGAAATTTGTCGCATATTGTTAATAAAATTTTGTATTTTTTTCAAAAAATTAGAAAAATATCAACAAAATTGTTATTATTGCTTTCTATATTTTTTCCAATTTTAATAAAATAATTTCACACGTAACAACGTTTCTTTGTGTGCGATTACTTTGCTTTAACTCAATTTAAAAATTTCGAATGTTTCATACATATAATGAAATATATTTTCGAAAAACGTGTAACCGAAATAACTGTTGTAAGAGAGCACAAAAACCTTTAATTAAAGTCCTTTCTATTACAATTTAACGTCGTTTAATGATAAATAAACGCTATTTTTAAATTGAAAAAAGGGGAAAAAGAGAGTTACACGTTCTCGACGAGAAAAATGTCGCCGCATGCAGTCTCGGATGCCGTTTGTTTCTGCCGGAAGGAATAAACGACGAGGAGCGCACGCGTCTATCTTTGTTGCTGCAACAAACAGACAAGCGGACAAACAAACTGGTGAGCGTGTCGACGAGAAATCCTTTAGGATTTCAGCTCGAATTTTCAGTTAGAATTTTCGTCGAAAATTACACGTAAGACGGAGAGAGCGGCTCGCCGCTCGACGCTGTTTTTACTTTGATCGCCGGCTTGTTGAACAGAGATTAATCGCACTGCTACGCTATCTACGGTCCGAGCAATCACGCTCTCATACCGCCATTTGTGCCATTGCCGTTGCTCTTGTTGGAGCAACCATACACGCACAAAGCGCATGGATAATTAAACCGGTGAAGGGGGAAAGGGGGCCTCGGCTGCAGCAACTCGCGTTCTCCATTTCCAGTAGGTTGTTGGTCAAAGTTTTACCCACGAGAGGCTACGCCTCGCGTCTCTCGCGACTTGCCTTTTCACCCTTCCACCCCCTTTCGTGCACCTCTTGCTCTCGCTTTATGTTCTCCGCCCGTTTTTTCGAGCGCATCGTAAATCTTTGTTGATGTTACACCCTACATATGCATGTACATAGTTAAAAAAAGGTGTGCATCGTTAAAATGCGTGGCACGAATTTTATATTTTGTTTGCAACAGTTTTGAAAGCTCCATAATTCCGCTTTCGCTCTTTTTGATTGTCTTTTCTGATAATTAGCGAAAAAGTGGAATTTGTATCATATCGTGCGTGCACACTCCGAATGTGAAGATTAACGCTCAAATTGATGTATTATTGCAACAGGATAGGAATGTATTGCGAGATAATTTAGTAAATAATTATTTGACTGGGAGAAAGAGAGAGTAAAAGAGAGAGAGAGAGAGAGAGAGTTTGGATGTACTCTGATATTTATCAATTACGATGTTTACAATAATAACCTATCTGCTAAAGCTCGGCATATTTACTACATATATGAGTGTTTTACAAATAATATTGTCGTCAAGAATGTAATCCGAAATAACGTCAAGATAGCAATTAAACAAATTAAAATAATTAATTGCGACAGGAAATAAACAATTATGGAATAACGGTAAATTCAATAAAAATGAAGTTTTTGCGTAACACCTACATCTCTTTGTATTTCGTCTAAACATTGTTTTTCATTAATGATATACAGTAAATTATATATATTTATGTATACATGTAACATAAAATATTATTGGATATTATAATATTTGAAATAATTAAATTAATTATATATAACATATATATTTATTGCGCAGCATATTAATTATGCAATATAACCGAATATATTCCAAAATTTAGTATCCTATATACATAAATATATAATATATACTATATAATTTCAATAAAATATATTAATAAATTTATAATAAATTTATTAAAATTTATTATAAAATAATAGAAATAATAATAAATTTATTTAAAATATTATGGTGTAAAATATTAGGATTCTAAGTAATTAAATATCAAATTTTGTGCGTGCGTGTTAAAGATCAACAATTTGAAAATTTTCTTACGAATGAAAACCGAATACATTAAAAGGAGCTTTATTCGCATAATTTATTTGCTCTCAGCTAAAGATTTAAAGTATAATATATGCAGTACATGTATAAAGATATAATTGAATACAATATTGAGAGATTAGCAGCCAAGTATTAAACATCGTTTATTCCCGAAATAAAGAAAGAAACATAATTTTTTACATCAACAATTTTACTCCGCGATGGATCTAACAATCTCGAGTTCCGAAATTGGAGTTGTAATCGCGCAGTTCCTTTGCGGATTCCGTGTCTACATATCCGCTACATATCGTGCATCTGTGCTATGTGGAAAATTAGATATCTTTCTCTGCATCACACATCGAGAAAGAGACGGAGAGCTAAAGAGAGAGAGAGAGAGAAAGAGAGAGAGAGAGAGCATCCGGCGATCGAGCTGGAGAGCTTTCCCGTTGTTTGTAAACGCGCGAATGGAGTTCGCGTACCGTCTAATGTAAGAGAAAGTCTCATTTTCGGTGTGCGTGCACACGGAATCGAAAAGCGACGACTGCTGCTGCTGCTCGGGACGAGACGCTGCAGGGAAGTGACTCTCTCGATCTGCAACTCGTCTGTCGTATCTCTCGCGAAAGTAGGGCGAGCCACGCCTTGCACGAGGCGCGTTCTCCCTCGCTCTTGCAAACATCACGGCAAACACGACGCGAATCCGCGGAGAAACGTTCATTTCTTTTTTTTTTCCTTCCCCTCTTTCCTCCTCCCTTCATTTCCGTTCTAACGTGATTCACGATCTGATTTTATTAGATCGCTCGAGCAGCTTCGTTGCCGCAAAGTGATCATGAATTTGTCATGTGCCAGATGTCAAGTAATGCGCTTTGTCCTATCGGAATATACGCGATATACAATTGACGATTGTATCGCGAATCAATTGATCGAGATTAATCAATACTTGAACAACATTATATGCAACTATTGTCAGTTCTGATCCTCCTGGCCTTATTGTCGCGCTGCTTATAAACCCGCGTGAGTGAATTGACGTTTAGAGTTGATTGTTGGAATTTTGCTTCGTTTACTTTGGTGGACACTTTCGGGAAAAACATGACGAGCGCTCCAAAATTTGGCCCCAAGCACTTATGTGCGAGAGCTTTCGGAGATTGGTTGTTTAGAAAATGCGCAGCCACTTTCCATGTAAATTTTTATTAATCAAATTCAAGCAGTAATTGAGCTTCCCTTAAATATCTGAAATTTAATAAATTATTAAGAAGAGAAAATCAATTTTTATTATGAAGTTATATAATTCTTTAATCTCGGGAATAGCGCATTAAATATGAAATATAATTAGCGTTATAATTTTTGCATGCAATTCAGATGTAGACTTTATACTTAGAAACTATGCAATAGTTTCTAGCTTCTCTAGGGAAATCATTCATAATTTTTTATATATATATATTTTATGTATCAATCTAATAAGACCAATGTTAAAACAATTGTTTGATCTCTCTTGGACAGATTACGTAGCTGACTGAAAAAGCGACTGAAGAAAAATTACTTTAGACGCATTTTGATATGAAAACACATTTTTTTTCCCAGCTACACACCTCACTATTTCAATATAATATTATGGAACCTTGGCTGCATATTTTCTAAACATCTTATATACGAAAATACACGAGTATTCGATACTTTACGTTAATCTTGAACGTACTCCAGGTAGTAAGACGGTACTATACTACGGCCCCCGGACAAATAGAAACTCGAGCTGGCGACCTCTCTGCATAATGCATAACATTGTCGTCTTCTTCATCGTCGTCGTTGCAGTCGGTGGTCGTCTACCGTTCCTTCGTTAGCCTTTTATCCTACCTTGTGCTCTCCCTTACTTATTCCAAGTAGTAGTTTTCTTCTACGAGAAGATATGCATATACAAGTTTTGCGCGCGCGCACCCCCAGAAAAAGAGGACAAAAACCTATTCCTCTCCGTTTCACCTCCGTTCTGTAAAGAATACATGCTTTCAATTTGGAGTACCGGTACACACAGTGCATTGCGCATACGCTAAAGAACTCAATTTTCTCAAAGTAATATATTATCTTGGATTCCGCGATGCAAATTCCTACGTAATATGATGATACTGTTAGTGAGCAATAATCAAATAAAATAATAATAAAAGCGTTTTGCCATAAAAACGACATATAAGGGTGGTTAAATATTGGGAAAATATTATTAATTAATGATTTTTAATTTTAGATAATAATTTTATTAATATAAATATTTTTCTTTATTTATTTATTTCATTAAATTATTTCATTATATTAAATTTAATAACAATGTGATAATTATATGGAAAATGAAGGTTCAATGGCCGTAGATTCTTTTTTGTAATCATTTTTTTACGTGCATGCATTCGTATAAAATATAAAATGTAAAAGTAATTATATGAAATGAACGTATATAACTTGTTATTCTAATAATATAATTTTATGTTAATTTAATTATACAAATGTACATGTATCGATTTTGTTGTGTAATTACAGAAATGACAATCGGTGGAGGCGATAATGAAGCGTGAAAGTTATCGTTGATTCGGATATCCTGCAGGACCATTTGTTTCCAGGATGGATGCGTCGCTGCAAATTTTGACTTTAATCAGCTTAGCTGCGCAAAATGTGGCTTGGCCGCAGGACCCCATTCCTAGACTGCACATCAAACATCGTGAGTAATATTTGAACAGAAACATTCGTCTTGCAACGTTTTAATTAAGCATAAGCAGTCAATTCATTTTCACATATTATTGAGAACTGCATCCGTTGTTAGATATTGAAATTTTGGCTTAAAACTTACTTTTTTAGACCATTATATTGAAAAAAAATGAATTAAACAGTAGAAAAAGGAATTAAATAGTAAAAAAATGAATTAAACAGTAGAAAAATGAATTAAACAGTAGAAAGAATTGTAAAAGTATTTCTTTATTTTGTAATAATATATACAGATTTAAAAAGCAATTTGTATAGAAAAAAAAAATTTTCATGCATAGACTTTTCACATATGCTTGAATATAATGGCAACTTAAATAATATTATATTAAATATTTATTTATTGTTTTGTATGATAATATTGATCTCAGAAATGATAACACATTAAGCAATATGCTTTGACAGTTAGTTGCCATCCATTAGTTTCAATATCTACCACAAGATAATCTCTGTTAAACTAGTACTTATAACCGCGGCAAATTGGATTGGAAACTATCATGGAATTAGTGCTATTTAGTTATTAATTTACTGCTCTATTCTCAATTTTAGTACCAAAAGTTATTCAAAAAGATGTGAAAAAGACAGCTTAAGAGAACTCTGTTTAATATTTCCAGTCCAATAAAAATTATATGTGAAATGAAAGTAACTGTAGATTATATATAAAATGAGAGTAACTATAGAGAATTAAGCGTTCAAATACTTTTTTAAAAAACAATTAACAGATATTTATCGTAGAGACATTTAATATCATAGTTTTAATTATAAATCATAGATTAATATGGAAATCATAAATATAATATAAATATAGAGAAAGTGCGAATAATGAAAAACCTATATTTAGGTTTAAATATTATATATATGTATACATATATAATGAGATTAATATAAGAACTTTGATTGACCGTTATCATTTTTTCATACACACATTAATATTTAATTTTGAATATTGACTTTTTGAATATAATTAATTATGTATAGGTACATATAAGTCTTTCCAATTATTACCAAATTACATCGACAATTTGTAAAGATTTTTGATAATTGTGTGCCAAAGTAATTCTAGAAACGTAAATGATGTAACTCAATTTTTTTTATTTACATTACAAAAACATAAAATGTGCAAATATTTATTTGCACATTTTATGTTTTCAAAATAATTTTACACAAAAATATTTCGCCAAAATATTTTTATCAGAATATATTGTATCATCCCGGCTTGTAACAGTATTTCCTACCGTCATTTTTTATGCAAAATTCAGAATCATTAATATCGTACAGGAAGTAAGAATGGTGGATCCATATTGCGCCGTTGATAAAAGTAATTAAGTAAATTTCAATATTCGCACTTTCGCTGCAGGATTCAATAATGATCCATTACTAAATTTGGCGCGACGCGATGCCACACAATAGCCTTTTGCGAGACGGAATTTAATAAAATGTAGCCACACTTTCACCTCGCTATTTTATAGATTTATCGAGTTAGTAAATTGACAGTAGCTGGCCTTTTAGGATATATACATAGACGTTCAATTAAAATTAATCTAATCGTGAGAGCGTCCGATAGACTCACAGGTCTACCTGATCACGAATTTATCGCGCGCTATTATTTATAGCAGACGATCATTTTCTACTCTGACAATATTATAGACTAAATTTTGCAAACGTACTCTTTCTGTTCTTCATTTTTCAAATGGACTTTTACTTTTGAAAAAATTTTTATTTATAAAGAATAGTTGTCAATAAATTCAGTATTAAAATTAAATAATAATAAAATTAATAATAATAAAATAAAATAAAAATAATAATAAAAATAAATTTTAATTAAATATTAATTAATGAAATTTAATTATTAATGTATGTAAAAAGGATGTGACATTCAATTAAATTTTGTGCTACAAGTAGAGAAAGATTTAAGATCTTGAAGATTAAAGAATGTCTCGAATCGATCAAGTCGATTCGCAAACCGGTTGTAGAATTGATTTCTTTAGCGCATTGTAATCTTTTTATCTCCCAAAGATATGGATTGTAAAACGATGTGGAACACGAACAGTTTTCAATTCACTTAGACTTTATATTTCCCAAAGTTACGAGATATATGAAATAATCTTGATCCCCAATTTCGCGACAGCCACGTAAAAGTCTGAATTTATTCAGAGCATGCGTTTCTCTCTCCCTCTCTTTCTCGCACGGAATCTCCAGAGTGCTCGAAAAAAAATTGGTTAAAGTGGAGGAGGAGGGGAGGAGGAAAAGGATAGTGCAGATAAGAACACTATCCACTGGGTGGCCGTTTATCACGATCTCCAACTGGCGCCGGTTAACCCGCGACTTAATTTTCATGGAGGTGGAGGAGGGTGGAAAAGAATTGTGTGAAACGGGGTAGTAACGACGACGGAAAATGGTTGTCGTCTTCTAGATCGCGACGACCTGGGCTATTCTGTCCTTTCGAGAGGTCGCATTGTATCCGGATATGTAGTCGGCGACTTTCATACCTCTGCCTTTGACAGCGTATTCAACGCGTTGTCACAACGGGCTGACCCCTACCAATTCAAAGGCACTTGCGCGCGATGTGAGCACCCTTTCGACCACACCTGTGGATTTGGTTGTCTCGTGGCGCGAACATACCTCAAAACGGATAGGCCGATAAAGCTAAACATGGAGGCGATGTGGATATTACACAGGCACGAGCATAAGGGAGCAAAACTTAAGTGCAAGTTTTAACACGTAATTGATTGATAATTTCGACTAGATGTCGAAAGTTTTATCGTTAAATATTTTTTATCTAAATTCAAATTTCAGCTCGAGCAATTTGCTGGAAGAATTCGATTTTAAATACAGTTGGATTTTTTGTCTTTCCATTTTTAAAGCGTGCACTTTGGGGCGGTCTCTTTTTTTAATTGATTACAGTTTTGAAACTTTTCACGTCTTTCTTTTTGTGGGAAACATTTTCGGTTCTCTATATATTGCAGAGGAAATGTTACGCTCGTGACTAAATATTATAAATTTATAATGGATTGTTTAAATTTTATTGAACGATTTACATTATAAAAATGAGAAAAATATTTTGACATTATAAAAATTTAGGAAGAAAATATTTTGACATAAAAATTTGTGAAAAAAACATTTTTCATGTCTTTCTTTTTGGGAAACATTTTCGGCGTCTCACATGTAAAGCAAGTGTTACGCTCGTGACTAAATATTATAAATTTATAATGGATTGTTTTATTGTGCGATTTTGAAATTGTAAAAATTTATGAAAAAAATATTTTTCCCGAAGAAAGATGCGAAATATACGATCTGCGATAGTGCTAGATTTCTAACGCCTCTTGACAGAATTTCACGCTGTTGGCGATGATGACATTTCGAAGTGAAAACAAAAGATTTATGTTCGTGTTATTGCGCACGTGTATGCAGGTGCAATAACGTTACGACACGCGTTATTTTATCGCCTTACTACAAAACGTTAACAGACAGAGAGAGAGAGAGAGAGACAGAGAGAAAGAATCAGGTTCGACCGTGTGTGTCGCTCGGAAATTTATTTCGAACCTATCGAGAGAGAGAAAAAAAACATCGCATAGATCCTCGTCGACGTCCTCGGCCAGGTCGCACGCGTCGTAAACAAAGATACAATCGATAATTTCCGACAAATCGGGATGACGGCTTTTCGGAAGTTTACTCGACCAGAAAGAGAGGTGGATAGAGTGAGAGAGACAGGGGGAGGATCGCGCGTTGCGGCGGCGAGACACACACGGCGGGGGTTAACGACCGTTGAAAATCCGCCGCCGTGTTGGTGGTGGATTCGCCTCGGAGCTTTTGACGCGGATCAAATATTGGCGTGTGTCCTGTCGATCGGCTCGACGCGACGCGACGCGACGCCGCGGCCCGCTTTGGTAAATCCTATTGAGTATTCAATTACGCTGGAGGTACGGGTGGCAGGCGGAGGAGGGGGAGGGAAGGAGGGAATTACGTACGTACGTATGTACGTATGTACGTACATACGTACGTACGTACGTAGTTGACCGATCCAGGTGAAATTGGACTCTCTCCCACGCGATGTACACTAGGCGTCGAACAAATGCCATCAGGAAAAGGAACGTCTCGAGGGACTTTTCCGGAGAATTGAACACGAGAGCTGTCTTGCGTTACTCTCATTATTGAGTAATTGTTTTAGTTGGATTTTATTCACAAAGGAAAATTGTGTGTTCTGTTTACGCGATGCGTTTCTATCTCGTGCGATTATATTCTTTTAATCCTTTAATGTTTTATATTTACGCGAAAAGATGCCATACGAGTGCGCTCTTGTAAACAGAAAGAGAGAAAAATATTCTTGATTATTTGTTAATAATTTAATAATAATTGTATCGATACATAATTTGATGATAAATTTAATATAATAATTTTATTAATATATTTTTAATAATAAGATTTAACAATAATTTTATTGATACGTCATTTAATAATAAATTTAATATAATAATTTTATTAATATATTTGCGATCAATTGAAATTATTGAATGCTTTCCCACGCGATGTATACTAAGCATCGAACAAATGGCTGAAAAATATCTCGAGGAATTTTTACACCAAATTCCACCAGAGCTGTATCGCCTTGAATCATTCATTATTGAATATTTGCAATTGTTTTAGCTTGATTTTATAGAAGAAAATCCATTGCTCTTTTTTTATTACGGTTTTATCCAACGATTATATTTTTCAATTTCTAATATTTTATTTTATTCACGCGAAAAGATGCCACATGAATGTGCTCTTGTAAAAATTTGTGGAAAGAAAGAAAGAAAGTTATCCTAATGTATTTATTAATAATTTAATAATAATTTTATTAATACGTATATTTGCAAGAGATTTGCAGTAAGATGAAAATAATCTTGTTCTTTTTTTCGAATAGATTTCGAATAGATTTTATTGCGATGAGAGTACAAACAATTTATTGACAACTATTCT